TCATTACCTCCTAAAGTGCCCCGCCATTTGCCAGTCCCTGCTGTAGTTGTTACGATTGGAGGGTGAATATGAGAACGATGCAGGTCGTGCCAGCTCGATCATGACGAACACAATGGTGCCGACATCACAGCTCTACTGCCATTTTTGACGAAGTTAATCAACAAGCACCGGAATCCTACCCTGGGGCATTTCACCTGCAGAGGTCGCCGAACCTGAGACCCTTTCACTCAATTTTTTTCAACGGTGCATGCGCTCGTTTTTCCCGCGAAGCTCTTGGTAAGTAAAATCCATCAGAAAGTGTGATCAAATAACGGCTGGTGACCTTCCATGACCTAGCATGGCCTTTTGAGTGACCACCGATGACATGACCACTGACGGCTAGCCATTAGCTGCACCCTGCCCGTTGCATATGGATCAGGTGGTGATGTCATGATTCTGAAATTATATTGCAGTTTTGGCGCACTTGTCAGAGCAGAAGATATTCCCACTTTTCCTCCATGACTATATGATGGTGAAGCCCTGAAGCTGACCAGACGTAAGATCGAAAATTTGAAAGTACGAAACGTAAGAATAGCTGGCACTGCTACTCATACCTAAGCAATTCGCAGCTTGTAGGAAACCAGCTTTGAGTTGGCAAGACTGCAAATTTTGATTTAGAGGCAAGGATGCTTGAAAAGGTGATCGATCTTAGGTGTCCTAGGATAAGTTTGGAAACGGGATGCACCATTCGATGTGTTTTGGGCCTTGCCAAGTTTCGCGGCGTTACGTGCCTCGTTTTTTTTTTGCATACACGATCAGTATCTACTTTTGGGATTTTCGGTCCCCGTCCCCCCCCTATCGAAAACCCGTGGCGCCGCCCCTGTATAGTAGGTATAAGTCACTTACTGGTGGATGGGGAAGGGGGGATTTGGGGCAAATGACCCCTTTCCGTAAGGATTCTTTACGCGCAAGGAATCAAAATCCGATGAGTTTTTGGAAATTGGACAACAGTGAACTCCGACCGAGCAGCCATGCAGAGACCCAGGCCCCAGCTCTACCGAGAAACCTTTCTAGGCGTGTGCCCCTCGTAGGTATGCGTTCCAGAATGAATTTGCCAGTGAAGTCACTAACTAATATTTTCACGGGTCTCACGGCTCATGGGTCACCGGTCTTTGAGTCTACACTCAACCGACCTCCACGTGTCTCAGCAATTGGGCATCCGTAGTAATTTATTTCTGGCTTCAGAGCAGTGTTCGCCATGGGCCGGGCCAGCCCAATGGGCCATGATGGGCTGGGCTGGGCTACGGGCTGGGCTGGGCCTTCAAATATGAAGGATCGATGGGCTGTGGATGGGCTGGGTCAGGAACTGTAAAGTGGAGTCAGGGATTCGCAACTGAGGCTAAAACTTTAACTACATAGCCTATTACTGTGCAAGACTAAAAAACTAGTTAACAAAGCCGCGCATCCAATGTGCATTGTGCATGCTGCTCGCAAAAAGATTGTTTCTTTGCTACCTTTGGATGCCCTGTGTGGTGTCAATAATTCTTAATCCATTCATTTTTGATGGGCTGGGCCGGGTTGGGCCTTGACGCTTTTACCATGAATGGGCTCGGGCTGGGCTGGGCTGTGAACTATGGGCCTGGGCTGGGCTGGGCTGGGATTTTGCGGCCCGTGGCGAACACTGCTTCAGAGCGATTTGACTTTTTGCTACGAATCCGGTGGAGATTTGTCAAAATTTCAGGGGGTTGGGGGTTCCAGGCCAGGCACATGAAGGCGGGCTGGATGCAGTACCACTGACTTACAGAGCAGTAATTCGTTTTCAAGGGGGGTCCTGACCCCCGCCCCCCGAGATCTCCACCTCTGCACGAATCACGCAAACATTTGCAAACAAGCCAAAGAGCTTCACTAGAATCCAAGGCAAGACATTTCTCATTTCAACAATACCTATGTATAATTATTAAATTGTAGACGACGTATTTATTAACGTCTCACAGTTGTTTCTCATGAGCGAGCGTCTTTTTAAGTTTGAATAGTAAGCTCGGCGGTAAGTCTTACGTTCCAAGCTGTAACCTTTTATCTATAGGTACGTAGTGTCAGTCCATTCTTATCCAGGCAAAAGTGTTATCCGATATTTATTGTGTCTTAACCCTGTTCCTGGCGGGCTCCGCCGGGACAAGAAACTGGCGGGGGGGGGGGGCCGATTCGGCCCCCCCCTTCAGATCTCAAAAACTACACATCGCAGCGACAAACGGCGAACGGCGTTTGATAGGTCGTTTAAAGATCTACAACTTTTACGTAAAACATTTTCAGGTCATGTCAATATTGAGGTCACCAGAGGTCATCAACGATAAAATGTTTTGGAATTAGTTACCTATATAACTTTTAAACTAAGAAACATAGTGACATAAAACCAATACATTTTTTGTTGCTCTCGCCGAGGCGATGCGAAATAAGTATAAGATGACCTTCACAGGTCAATTTAAAATTTGACCTGAGGTCAAGGTCAGGTCATTCATCAATGAGGTTGTGGGGTATGGTCATGCTGCATACCAAACGACGCGCCTTGACCAGGCGAGCAGTTTGGTACCACTTACAAGTCTTTAGCACCACCATGTCGTGATTTATTGACAGAAAAACGATTTATGACGTCACATGACCTCAGATGACCTTTGCCGGTGCCCCTGTCAATTAGCGGCACCAGGATCATCACCGATGAGATAATCTTCCGTAATACTGAAAGAACTGGGTGGTTTTGACTCGTTTACACGAAGCAGGAGGCGTTTCAATATTTTCCCATAGGCTTGCAATGTAAAGGTCACGAGTCTGGCCCAGGGGCGGATCCAAGGGGGGGTCACATGGGTCATGGCCCCCCCCTTGAGGCCCGGGGGCCCAAAGACCTTCCAGGGGCACCACCGGCCTATCAGGGGTATCACAGTCCTGACAGGGGCACCACAGGACCGCCAGGGGCACCACAGGCCTAGCAGGGACACCACGGGCCTGGTGCCCCTGGGCCCTGACAGGACTGTAACGCCCCTGACAAGCCTGAAGTGTCCCCGGCAGGCACGTGGTGCCCCTGACAGGCCTGAGGCGCCCCTGCAAGGCCGGTGGTGCCCCTGGCAGGCCTGTGGTGTCCATGGCAGGCCTGTGGTGCCCTTGCTAGGCCTCTGGTGCCCCTGACAGGCTTGTAATGCCCCTGGAAGGACTGTGGTGCCCCTGGGCCCTGACAAGCCTGAGGTGCCCCTGACAGGCCAGAGGTGCCCTTGCTAGGCCTGTGGTGCCCCTGGCAGGCCTCTGGTGCCCCTGACAGGCTTGCGGTGCCCTTGGAAGGACTGTGGTGTCCCTGGGCCCTGACAAACCTGAGGTGCCCCTGACAGGCCCATGGTGCCCTTGTTAGGCCTGTGGTGCCCCTGGCAGGCCTCTGGTGCCCTTGCTAGGCCGCTGGTGCCCCTGGCAGGCCTCTGGTGCCCCTGCGCCCGGAGAGGACTGGTGCCCCTGAAAAGTCTGAAGTGCCCCTCGGCAGGCCCGTCGTGCCCCTGACAGGCCCAAGGTGCCCCTGCGAGGCCGGTGGTGCCCCTGGCAGGCCTCTGGTGCCCCTGGCAGGTCTGTGGTGCCCCTGGCAGGTCTGTGGCGCCCCTGGCAGACCTGTGTTGACTGGTGCCCCTGCTAGGTCGCTGGTGCCCCTCACAGACCTGTGGTGCCCCTGGGCCTTGACAAGCCTGAGATGCCTGGCTATGACAGGCTCGTGGTGCCCCTGATCGACCAGTGGTGCCCTTGCTAGGCCTGTAGTGCCCCTGGCAGGCCTCTGGTGCCCCTGCTACCCCTGCGCCCTGAGAGGACTATGGTGCCCCTGAAAAGCCTGAAGTGCCTCTCGACAGGCCCGTGGTGCCCCTGGGCCCTGACAGGCCCAAGTTACCCCTGCGAGGTCGGTGGTGCTCCTGGCAGGCCTCTGGTGCCCCTGGCAGGTCTGTGGTGCCCCTGGCAGGCCTGTGTTGACTGGTGCCCCTGCTAGGCCGCTGGTGCCCCTCACAGGCCTGCGGTGCCCCTGGAAGGACTGTGGTGCCCCTGCCCCTAGGGGTGCTCATGGGCCCAACAGGCCCGTTGTGCCCCTGACAGGCCTGTCGTGTATACTTGCTAGACCTGTGGTGCCCCTGCTTCCTGACAGGCCTGTGGTGCCCCTGGCGGGCCTGTGGCGCCCCTACAAGGCCGTAGGTGCCCCTGACAGGTTTGTGGTGTCCCTGGAAGGACTTTGGTGCCCCTGACAAGCCTGAAGTGTCAGGGACAGACCCTTTAGACGCCAGGGTCAAGTTCGTCGGACTGACAACGATTTGCTTACCTGATAACGTTCCTGGTAAGTACTCATTACTCAGCGTCCACAACATATATACACATAGCACATTCATATATACTTGCTTACAATTGGTAAATGTGGTTGTGGCTAAGAGGTAAGATACTGACTAAAAATAAAAAATAAAAATAAAAAACTGAAAATGGGGGCACCACCAAAATGAAGTGGACGAAATCCGTTGAGTTTTTAATTTTGGGTATAGGTAGGGGCACCACTTCGATTCATGACCCTCCCCTTGGAGTTTTCCTGGATCCGCCCCTGGTCTGGCCTGACCTCAGGTCACAGATATGAAAATTCTGAGATATACAAATTGCACATACTGTTACCGTAACTAAAGCCTGAAGAGAAGAAATTGATCGGTCAAAAACTCTAGCTCTGGCGTGATTGCAAACTTTTCTGAGGTAGGGTCACCAAACCGCCTCTGGTGACCTGACCTGAGGTCAGATCAACTCAAAATTTTCAGAAATGTTGCATAAAAGCCTTTTAGAAAAAGCCAGAAAATTTGAGCTTCCTAGCTCAAAGCGTTTGGGAGATATAACCAAAAAACCTCAGGGGGGGGGGCTCCTGAGGCCCCCCCCGCCAGGAATAGGGTTAATTATTGCGCCCGTTATTTTTTTTAAAGGTATGAATAAAAAGTCGAATAATATGGCCTTAATCGATTGAAGGATGCTCCTGCTTAGTGCTTACGAATGTTTAAACGGTCACCCAGGAATTAAATGCCTCGTCTGGATGATTGCCTCGCAGTCAATCTACCCACGAGGCATCTTTATAAAGGATGAGAATGGCTGGCGGCTGGGCCTGAAAAACGGATAGCTGAAATTGGTGGTCGATTTATATTTAATTGTAAATCATCCATGTTGATTTCGATTTTCATGTTTCTTGATATTGCTGAAACTGACTTTAGAAGTCGGCATTACCAGACCGAGCAATTTCACGGAGCATTGCCTGCTTCAATATCGAGCAAAGCATGCTCAGCTAACAGCTTGAGCTCAGCCACCCCTCATTTTTCTCGTCTAGTGTCCCATTTCGCCAATCGCATCGGACCACCCCGGTGTTGAGCCCCTGTGCGTCAGGTCTCAGTGGTGCCATCTACCGTCCGTTGAGCACTGCCTGCTCGGCAGGGTCTTCCAGTTTCAGGTTGCACAGATGTCGCCTGTGTTTCTGTCTGCCCACCAGACCTCCGCAGCTCAGCACCACACTGTTGTGTCGACCCGTGCCGTAGTTATCCGACTCTCGCTCGAACTGAGCCTCTCCCATGAGTTGTCGCGTGGTGGGTGGAACGACCAGCGGCGCCCTCTGCTCCGTTGTCCAGTTGTGTCTCGAGCACCAGTCGAGTCGCGGGGGTCGGTACCGCCGTTGAATCTCCGTACTCAGACCGGTGTGAGGGACGGTTGGGGTGAAGTGATGCCAGTGCGGCTGGGGTACGGCCTCCTCTGGCACTATTGGGTCACCAGTGAAGGTGTCCCCTGAAGGTGCGTCCCGGTAGCGCCGAGCCGCCGCCGCGCTCACCGGCTGGAAGTCTTTGCTCGTGGTGGAGAGGTAAGGGTTCACCTCTCCGGCTACACCACTGGTGGCGGTGAACACGTGTCGGGGAAGCACGTCCGTGGCCGGTCGAAGAGCGCACGGTCGGTAAGGAACGGCCGTCAGGGGGGCGCTCAGGTGTCGGCGCGGCGCGAACGCCTCCGAGTACTCCGAGAAACGCGGTTTGGAGGCGGGCAGGGAGCAGTTCCTCAGACGCTGTTCCACCTCGCCGAGATACTCCACTGAGCCGCTGGGAGGGGCCGGGCTGTAGACGGGCTCCGGGTTCAGACACCGGTCACGCCGTTTGAATGTGTACGACTCGGCAGCGGTGGATAGAAATCGGTCACTAGAGAGAATCTCGGAGACGGCCAAATCTGAAAGGATCGCATATTGTGATTACGACGCACAGTTTACTTCAATCAGTTGAGTATGCGGGATTTATGAAGCTATTATAACAAGAGAGGGTCGTAAGTGAAAGAGCTCATCTATCCAGCTTCCAGTTCAACGTTGATTGGAGTTGTAATTATGCGTAAAGGTCACGTCAGTAGCGAGCTGAGAATACTGTTTCAGCAAGTCCTGATAATCCACCTCCTGGTTATTTCCCGTCCCATTTGTACAGCTTTCCACGGGTGAAGAGTAAGTAATTACAATAAACGACTCTTCACTGGAATGGTATTGCGTAGCAGCACTTTGTATAATACTCACCTTGAAGGTGGTCGGGCAGAGTTTCGTACTTTGTTCGCACGAGCACCCCATCCGTGGCCAGCTGGTGCGCCGGTCGGCTGCGCAGGCCCATTTGCTGCGCCGTCCGCAGCGTGGACGTGCACGGCACGGGCGCCTCCATGGCGGCACGTGTGTCGGGCACGTGCGGGCACGGCACGTCCGGAGGGCCGGGGCAGCCGGCGGCCGGGTGCTCGTACGGTTCTCCCGACGATCGATGGTGTTCGAGTGGTGAGCCAGGACGGCGGGCCTCGCCCGGGGGTGGGGATGGATCACAGCAGGCCATCAGAGACACTCACTGGAGCACCACTGTGTCCAATCAGCCGGTATTGGGGATTGAAATGACCACAATGACTCTACTGGTATAAATATACCTAAAATAAAATTAGCATAGTTTACATTCTAGCCTACAAAACAATATAAAATTAGTTATTCGAAGCATTCGTATCAAATCATTGCGAAACAATCCGATTGGGACCACAGAAACTAAGAAAATTGTCCCGTTTTTTATCATCTCGTGACAACCACCGAATGCCCCACTAGGTTACAAACCCAAATAAGGAACGAAACTATCTGTATCAAGCCGTGACTGAAACATAACCAAAAGGACATAAAAGTAAATATATGTAGTTGTCGTAAGAAACTGCATGCTCAGCGATGGGGGTCGAGCCAGCGTGGCTAAAGATCGGAACGTAACGATGCGTTTCTGTCACTCTGCTGCTGATTGAGCATATTGTACCACCTGAGTTTACCTACGAAGAAGTTGCGGCTGCAGCATCCGTTTTTATTTGTACTGCTGGTTTCGGGCACATTACACACAAGTGAGTACATTAAACTTTAAATTGTCTGTCAATCACGGAAGTCGTATCTGACAAACACGCAACCACACAGACAGTTGTCTAACCGCAGACACATTCACACATCCACGCGTATATTTGTCCATTTAGCCAGCCAGGCAGCCAGTGTAATGTGCAGTGTCACGCACTCGGTCCCACGGCTCTGTCTGTGCCGGCCCGGGCGGTGGCCCTAAACGCTCCGACCTCGGCTGGGCGGCCAGTGGCAGAAGGCCGATCGTATATAAACCACTGCAGAGTCGGCACCAGGCACAGTTCTCTCTGCTGACGCACTCACAGCAAACAACGCAACAACCATGAACAAGGTGAGAACGGATGGTGCACTGCAGGAGGGAATGCGCCGCAGTTGTATTTGCTAACTGTTACAATTGTATTTTGAGCATTAGATATAGCTCTTGTAAGGAGTTTTTCAGCTCAATTTTTACAAGAGAACTTACTGCTTTTCCACGACACATGCACAAAAGGTGAGTGTTAAAAGAGATGTTTAAACGTGTTCGTTTTGTTTCTCAGTTCTTCGCCGTGCTCAGCCTGGCCGTGGTGGCCGCCGTGGCCGCGTCCGACGACCTGGACCAGAGCGAGTCGGTGGCCGTGGCCACCACCTACGGCTCCGGCTACGGCTACGCCGCCCCCGCCGTCTACGGCGCCGGCTACGCCGCCCCAGCCTCCTACGGATACGGCTACACCGCACCGGTCGTCAAGAGCTACGGCTACTCTGCTCCGGTCGTCAAGAGCTACGGCTACGCCGCCGCCCCCGTCGTCAAGAGCTACGGCTACGCCGCTCCCTACACCGGCTACAAGTCAACGCTCTACTCTGGCTACGGTAGCCCCGCCTACAGCAGCTATGGCTACGGCTACGCGGCACCCACTGCCTACGGCTACGGCCGTGCTGCCTACGGCTACGGCGCTCGCCCTGCCCTCTACTCTGGCTACGCGGGCCTGACTGGCGCCTACGGCCTGTACTAGAGTCAATCAAAGTCTGCTGTGAGCATCGACCGTGGAGCTTGTTCTTGTGTGTTGTGTTTGCTGATGAACTTCGATCTGGATTAGCGAGGTGTTAATCTCGAGTTTTCCGATCTCAATCAATATACTTTTCAATTCATGTACCCATTAGTTTTCTCACCAACGAGAAGAGAAGGACGCAAATCCCAAATGGTTGCAGTGGCCTAGCGTTTCCATAGTTATTTTAAAGTGACCATCTCACCTTCACATTAGTTTTGACTTGACAGAGATAGCCAAATAGGAGTCCCTGGCTTGCAATTACCGGTTTGGACACTCACAACATCGAGAAATACTTTAATTTCGAGATAGGCATTTAATTTCAATGTCTGGAGTTTTCGGATTCTAAGGGATTGATGCATTTGAATGCCCCATTAGAATTTGTGACGTCAGCACAAAGGGCTAACGATTTTTAAATCATATACTAAACCACAGATAACAGTAGTACTACTGTTATCTGTGACTAAACCCTTTGGTAAAACGTGGTATATGCTGCTTTGCGCGCAACATCTGCCGCACTTTTAGGATGCCAAATTATTGCTTCAAAATGGCGTCACAGGAACAGCGGAGATCCCAAAAAATGAGCAAAAGTTTAAGTGTAATATGTTGAAAACCGGTGAATATTTTTCGGTGAAATTTGGTATATATTCGTTTTTGCTCTTTCTGAATCGAGCGACAGCACTGTTATGCCAATTAATCAACTTAAGGTGGGAGGATCCCATTAAAGGACTTCAAGTCTTCATCTTAATCGTTAACAATTAATTACAGGGTGTTCATTAGCAAATGATATAAAGTAAGCCCCGCTGGCCGCTGGAGGCACATACCTAATATATGTATGTTTCAACACATAAGCAGCACACCGTTAGATTGACAAATCTTGGACCTTTGACATCACACACACGAAAGTCAGTTGTGACACCTCGGTTGTCTACAGGAGGTGCTCGAAGTGCCCTCCTACGCGCGGCAAGCTCAGTCATGACATTCGCTCCGTGCACCTTCTTGCATGGGATTAGCTTCTGTGGACTCGTCGGTGGCTATAGGACTGCATCCTTTCTGATGGGTGCTTTTGTTCGTATAATACAAACCACTTCTCATCACTTCATATCATTCATTCGAACGATTCTTCCGCTTGGCTGAGCCAGAAGGTGCACGCTTCCGATACCATGCTGTCAGTGGAAAGATCGGCCACGGTATGGTTTTGAGCTCAATGTCTTGCGGATAATTATCCATACAATCCAAAAAGACACTTTATGGTCTCTTGAAACCTTGCGAACGTGAATATTGCGTAGATTCTGAAAGAATGCGAGACTGCCCTCACCTCCTCCCATAGGCGGCGGAACGATTTGAGACAAGGGGGGGCACCATGGCTCAAGGAGCCAAACCTAGGGTACCCCCAAATCCTGTTTTCTCATCGGATTTAGGCCACTTATTTTTCGTCACAGCCCTGACACGATGATTTTTTTATTATTTTTTTTTTTTACTAAACGAAAATGGCAGTTCACCCCCGTATGCAGGGGTGTACCTAATTTTATATCTCTTTGTGGGGGCATATGCAGCCACCCACAATCCTGAATTATGCCCCCACAATGATGAAAAAGCACCCACAAGTCTTTTACAAGGCTGCAACCGTCCTTTCGAGAGCACGGTGCCCTTCGCATGCTCTAACGGCCTCCTCCTGACCGTCTCGCGTTCATGGATAGCGTTTTTAATCACTCGGCGCCCTTCTGGGAGAATGGCGCACTTTTGACAGCACCGCGCCATTCTCATGGTCTAACGGCGCCCTCCTGACCGTCTCGCGTCCTTAGGTCTCTGTTCACCGTGCATCCCTCGACTATTCGGCGCCCTTCTGGGCTCTCAGCGCCCCTGAACCACATATAGCGTTTTCAATCACTCGGCACCCTTTTACGAGAATGGCGCCCTTTTCATGATCTCAAGGCGCCCTCGTAACCATCTGGCGCCCCCACGTCCCCACCAACGTAGCACTACTGACTGTGCGGCGCCCTTCTGGCCTCTTAGCGCCCCTGGACCACATAGCGTTTTCAATCACTCGGCGCCCTCCTAGGAGAATGGCGCCCTTTTCATCGTCTCACGGCGCCCTCGTAAGTCGTAACCGTCTGGCGCCTCCACATTTGGTGCCCCTCCTACTGGATGGCGCCTCTCTACATATTTTTTACGTCCTTCCGGTCAGTTTCCACTTTTAAGCGTGTATTTGCTTAGTCAGACACGTCACTTGAAGCGCCATTCGGCTAGCAATGTTATCAAATTCGGTGTTAATTTAGGCTCCCACATAAAGAATATCGCGCCCCAAAACGGCCTGGCGCCGGGTGCCCCTACAGCTGGGCACCCACAATCATTTTAGGAAAATTACACCCCTGCCCGTATGTGTGGTTAACTTTAAGCTGATCCTCAAGTACCTATGTGTTTGTCTCTTCCTTATTGTCGTTTGATAAATTCCATTTATCCTACATGTATAATTCCCAAGAAGCCATCGCAGTACTAATCAGTGGCGAATCCCAGGGTGGAGGTCACATGGGTCATGACTTAGGGCCTGGGGTCACCACATGCCTGCCAGGAGCACCACAGGCCCGCCAGGGGTGCCAAAGGCCTAGCAGGGGCACCACGGGCCTGTCAGTGGCACCACAGGCCTGCCAGGAGCACCATCGGCCTAGCAAAAGCACTACAGGTCTTCCAGGGGCACCACAGACCTGCCAGGGGCACCAGAGGCCTGTCAGGGACACTATCGGCTTCGCAGGGGAACCACCGGCTTCGCAAGGGCACCATGGGCCTGTCAAGGGCACCACAAGCCTGTCGTTAGCAATTTAGGATTGTCAGAGGCACCACAAACCTGTCAAGGGCACCTGCGTTCTAACAGGGGCACCACAAACCTGCCAAGGCCCAGGGACACCACAGGCCTAGCAAGGACACCACAGGCCTGTCAGGGGCACCACGGGCCTGTCAGGGCCCATGGGCACCTAAGTCATGTCAGGGCCCACCGTAAGCTTGTCAGGGGGCAGGGTAGGTAGGTACCACAGTCTTTCCAGGGGCACCAGCGGCTTAGCAGGGGCACCAGTCATCACATGACTAACCAAAAATAAAGAAAAAAAACTGAAAATAGGGCACCACCAAAATTAAGTGGCCGAAATCCGTTGAGGTTTTAATTTTGGGCGTAGGTAGGGGCACCACTTCGATTCATGAACCTCCCCTTAGAGTTTTCCCGAATCCGCCCCTGGTACTAATACATCAAATTTAAGGGGGGGCACCTTGCTATTGGTGCCCCCCTTGCAGAATTCAAGGGGGGGCACGGTGCCCCGGTGCCCCCCCCGTTCCGCCGCCTATGCCTCCTCCGCATTAAAGGGACCCTCCCACCTTAACATTAGTTTTGAGTTGAGATAGCCAAGTTTGCGGCCAGGCTCAGAAACCACCATTTATCCTGGTCGCAACCCCCGCAGCTTTATGGTGTTCAAGAAATTTCTTCCCTTTACTTGCAGCCTGCAGGGTGGGACCAGCGTGGTCCCTATCTCTTAACCATTACGGGAATCTGATGACGTCATCAGACTGTCGAACGTCCGTTAAATATTTGACTAAAACGTTTTGTAGCACGCGGTGGTATATGCTGCTTTGCGCGCAACAAATGCCGCACTTTCAAATAAAGTCGCTAGGAACAGCGGCCGATTCCAAAAAGTAAACAAAAGTAAAAGTCTAATATCTTGAAAACCGGTGAATATTTTTCGATGAAATTTGGTAGATATTCGTTTTTGCTCTTTCTGAACCGAGCGACATCACTTTCATGCCAATTCATTAACTTTTTTGAAGGTGGGAGGGTCCCTTTAAGTTCTGCGCAAACTGAGACCCAATATTTCGCGGGCCACTCTCCTAACCGGTTATCAGCGCCGCACCAGATTTGGGATAAATCGGTCCAGCCATTTTTTTATATGCAAAAGCGGCCCTTGCACGCAAAATTGTACAATTGAAATTGCAATGACTGCTCGCCAGTAAATTGGAACTTAAACTTTGTAAAGGCTATCCTTTTCTTCGGTGGCCAACGGTCTTTGAGAACAGTCAGCTTAGTTGTTCTTGAAGTGTAAAAGCGTCCAAGGCCAGCTTAGTGTGCGCATTTTCCAGTGCCTCAACCATGGCGTTTGGCAAATGGAAGTGCATTGCCAGGTAGATATCCAGCTTAAGGCCAAGTTTCACTGCAATCCGTCCAACGACGTTATTAACCCGCGCCCTGGTGGGGTCTGTTTATAACGTGACCTGGTGGGGGGGGGGGGTGTTGTGATGGGGCACGTTTTCCCTTCCCTTCATTTGGTATCACCCCCCGGTCATATGGAAGCACAGAAACAATAAACAGTTCCATGGTCGCCGCCATTGTGTTTCGAGGGTAATCGGCCGCTCCCGATAAATCGCCGCGAGAGTGCTAAACTAACCACCGGAATCGACCATAACATGGCGCGGTCGGTCGGTTTCGTAATCTTTTATTAACTTTTCGCTGACGGCCGCGACTAACCGTACTCGTTGTGCCTGTCGTGTGTAAATATCTGTGCGGCGCGCGCGTCCAAGATGGCGGGCGGCGATGAGGCGCAGTCGGCCGCCGCCGCTGAGAAGCCGTCTGAGATGGAGCTGCTTCGGGGCATGCTGCAGCAGCAATTGGAGCTGGCTGCAGCGGCAGCGCGACGTGAGGAGCGGATGGCCGCGCTGATGGAGCGGGTGCTTCCCGGCCCGACGGCCGTGCAGGACGCCACGGCACCCGCCCAGGCAGCTGCGGGGCCCGATTCCGGCGCCCGGCCGCGTGCACGAATGCCCGCCGCCGGCACGCCCACGCCCCGGCTGGCGGCTACCGCTACCCTCAAGGAGTTTGAGGCCTGGAAAGAGAAGTTCTCCGGCTACTGCCTCCTCACCGGCGTCCACGATCTCACCGAGACTGAGCAGCGGGCCGCCCTGCTCGCCGTTCTCGACGACGACTGGGCCCGTGTGGTCCGGTTCGGCCTGCCCATCCCGGCCGAGGCGTCCATGGCCGATGTGATCACCGCCATGCACGCCCACCTTCGGCGGCAGCGGAACGTGGTGATCGACCGCTGCGAGTTTAACATGCGGATGCAGGAGCCAGGCGAGTCAGTGGACGATTTTATCTGCGCCCTGAAGGAGATAGCGTCCTGCTGTGATTTTTGCCCGAACTGCACCGATGATCGGTTCCGAGACCATCTGGTGGTGGGCACCAGTGATGACGAGGCCAGACGCCGCATGCTGGAGCTGCCCGATCTGACCTTCCAGATGGCCGCCGACCTGTGCCGGGCGTCTGAGAGCGCCCGTCTCAACAGCTCGGCGATCCGTGGCCCGGGCGAGCCGTCTCTGCGCCGTCTCTCCGAGTACCGGCGACAGCGCGGTCGGCCGAGCGGCGCGGACTCGCGCCCGGCCGACCAGACCCGGCGGTGTGACCGCTGCGGTGCCGCGCAGCACACGGACGGTCGTGCCTGCCCCGCCCTGGGTCGCACCTGCCACCGATGCCACGAACGGGACCACTTTTCCTCGGTCTGCCGGCGTGCCGCGGGCACTGATGAGCGGCACCGGCAGACGCCTAGTTCCGAGCGCAGCCACCAGGGCCAGGACTGGCGCCACCGTAGCGCGAGCAGCCGCCGCCAGGGGAGGGGCCGGCGCCACCGTAGCGCAAGCAGCCGCCGCCGTGGCACTGCGGCTGCCGACGCGTCGCACCGGCAGGTTTCGGTGCTGGCAGCGAATACGACCACGAGAGACACGGCGAACCGGCAGCAGTCAGCGCCGCCGGCGGCCCGGACGCCGGGCGCGCGCCTCAACAGTGTGACGGCCCACCGATCGCCGCAGGTACGGCTACAGCTGCACCTACCAAACGGAGTCAGGCGGTCGACCGTATGGACGCCCGACACCGGCGCTGAGATATCAGCCCTCTCACTGCAACAAGCCGAGTCCATGGGAGTGAGCAGAGCGGACCTCACGCCCTCCACATCTGTGCTGTGGGCCGCAGACAGCCGCCGGCTGGACTGTGTGGGCACGTGCGCCCTCACCCTGCAGCTCGGTGACGTCATACAGACCGTGCAGGTGTCCGTTCTGCGAGCACTGCACTCACCACTGCTGTCGTGGCACGATTGTATCGGCCTGGGAATTCTGCCGGCGAGCTTCCCGCGGCAGATTTGTCAGCGCGGCTCGGCAGCCGAGACTGGGACGGACGGTGGGGCACCGGAGCCGCCGCCGCCCGGTGAGCCGCCCGAGGCCCCCGCCGCCGGCAGCCAGCCCTCACTACGGCGCTGCAGCGGCACGACGGCGGCACCTGAGGAGACCCGGGACCTAAGCCGCGTCTCTGCCGCCGACCGGCCGGCCGCCAGCTCGGCCGGCGCCGACCCGACCGGGCGGCCGCCGCCGCCCGGCCGCGCGCACGGCCCGGCCGCCGGTGGCACCCCCTCCGCACGGCAGCGGCGGGCAGACTTCGACGAACTGAAAGCCGAGTTCCCGAGGGTCTTCGATACGAAGTCGACCCTGCGGAAGATGACGGGGGAGCCGATGAAGATCGAGCTGACGGACGACGCCGTCCCTCACGCTGTGACCACCGCCCGGAATATCCCGTTCTGTTGGCGAGAGGACGTGCGACTGCAGCTCGACGAGCTGATGGAAAAGGACATCATCGAGCCGGTGGAGCACCCCACCGACTGGTGTCATCCGATTGTTCCGGTGGCCAAACGGTCGTCAGACGGCACAGTGTCCGGCTGCCGGCTGACCGTGGACTTCACTAAGCTAAACCGGTTCGTGAAGCGACCGACGTACCCGGTCCGCTCGCCTCAAGACGCAGTCGCCTCCGTCTCACCCGGCGCTGCGTACTTCACCAAGCTGGACAGCAAGGCGGGGTACCACCAGGTCCCCATCCGGCCTGAAGACAGAGACCTGACGTGTTTCATCACGCCGTGGGGCCGCTACCGGTACCTGAGGGCCCCAATGGGAATCGTCAGCTCTGGCGACGTGTACAACCAGCGCGGTGACGCCGCGCTCGGCGACATCCCGCGCACGTGTAAGGTCGTGGACGACGTCCTGGCCTATGATGCTGACTACGCCGCCCACCTGCAGCACGTGCGGCAGATCCTGAAGAGATGTGACCAGCACGGCATCACACTCAACCCGGACAAGTGTCAGTTCGCGGAAGATGAAGTGGAATTCTGCGGCTTCCACATCAATTCAGCTGGCTATACCGCCGACGGCAAAAAAGTTCGTGCCATCCAGGCCTTCCCCAGGCCCGGCAACATCACCGACCTACGGTCGTTCCTCGGCCTGGTGACCCAGCTCGGCGCCTTCTCCCCAGAGGTCGCCGCCGCCGCCGAGCCGCTGAGACAGCTGCTGCGGCCGCGGAACGCGTGGCTGTGGACGCCAGCGCACGAGCAGGCGTTCAGCGCGGTGAAGATGACACTCACGTCGCCGCCCGTGCTCGACTTCTTCGACCCTCGCCGCCGCACAGTCCTCGAGACTGACGCCGCTCGCTCCGGCGGCCTGGGCTACTGCCTGCTGCAGCAAGACGCCGCCGGCCGGTGGCGACTGATCCAGTGCGGCTCACGCTTCCTATCGGACGCCGAGTCGCGGTACGCCGTGATCGAGCTGGAGCTGCTGGCCCTGGCCTGGGCCTGCAAGAAATGCAGCATCTATCTCAGCGGGATGCAGCGGTTTGAAGTCCTGACCGATCACCGGCCGCTCATCCCGATCCTCAACAGTAAGAGCCTCGCGGAGATCGAAAATCCGCGGCTCCAGCGGCTACGTGAGCGGCTGGCGCCGTTCAACCTGCTCGCCACCTGGCGGCAAGGCAAGCTGCACGCCATCCCGGACGCGCTGTCGCGCGCGCCGGTGGATGACCCGGCGCCTGAGGACGAGGAAGCCGAGAGGGACGCCAGCCATCAACTCGCCAGCGTGCTCTCACGGCTGGCCACCGACGGGGCGGACGACGGTCCCAGCCCGTTCAAAGACGCGGCGCTCACAGAGGTGCGCGCCGCCGCCGCCGCCGATCCGGAGCTCATCGCACTCACCGATCTGATCCTGATCGGGTTTCCAGAGCACCGGTCACAGCTGGACCCGCGCCTCCGACCGTACTGGGGAGTTCGGGACCGGCTGGCCGTGGACGACGGCCTAGTGGTGTGCGGCCAGCGGCTCGTGATACCGCCCAGTCTGCGGCGCGCCACGCTCGAGCGCCTGCACGCCAGTCACCAGGGCGTCGAGCGCACCAAACGCCGCGCGCGGCAGGTAGTCTACTGGCCGTTCCTGGACAGTGACATTGCGAACCATGTCGGTGCGTGCCCGGCCTGCCAGCGGTACCTGCCCAGTCAGCAGAAGGAGCCGCTGATGCCGGAAAAGACGCCGTCACGTGTGTTTGAGGCTGTCTCCGCCGACTACTTCGTCTGGGCCGGCCGCACGTTCCTGGTGTACGCGGACCGGCTGTCCGGGTGGCCGTTTGTGTCGCACGTGGCCGGCGAGGCGACTGCCAGAGACCTGGTCTGCAGCCTGCGCCAGATGTTCGCGGCCACCGGCGTGCCCACCACCCTCCGGACAGACGGTGGACCCCAGTTCACCGCCCGGCTCACCCGAGAGTTTCTGCGCCGCTGGGGAGTGGAGCACCAGATCTCCACACCGCACTACCCGCAATCAAACGGACACGCTGAGGCGGCGGTCAAGGCCGCCAAACGGCTCATCCAGAAGGCGACTAGCAGCGGTGAGCTCGACACGGACGCCTACGCGCAGGGGCTGCTGGAACTGCGCAACACGCCGCGCGCCGACGGCCGCTCTCCGGCTCAGGTCCTGTTCGGCCACCCGCTGAGATCGGCAGTGCCGGCGCACCACCGGGCCTTCGCCGACTGCTGGCAGCGGGCGGCGGACGACTGTGACGCCAGAGCCGCGGCGCAGCAACAGAAAACAGCCGAGCGGTACGACGCGACAGCCCGACAGCACAGCGCGCTCACCATGGGTCAGCGCGTGCTCGTCCAAGACCCGCGGTCGGGGCTGTGGGACCGCGTCGGCGTCATCACGGCAGTCGGACAGCGGCGCGACTACCTGGTCCGGCTGCCCAGTGGCCGAGTCTACTGGCGGAACCGGCGCTATCTGCGACCCCAGAGATCTCTCATCTCGGAGGGCGCCGCCACACTTGCACCCGGGCGCCGGCAGCAGCCCGCTCCGAGCTCGGCACCCGACGGCACGGAGGAGACCGCCGCCGCTGCGCCGGCGGGCGGACAGCCGGCACCACCGGTGCTGCGGAACAGCGCCGATGACCCCAGCTCAGTGCGCCGTGGGACGCGCCGCCGTCGCCGTCCGGCCCGACTGACCGTGCGCTGGGCGGACCAGACGTACGACTGAGTTCGTGCGTCCACACCGTGTGTGGTGTACATTTTTTTTATGTGTTAGACGCAATGCGTATTTTGTACCGACGCATGCGTCTTGAGGGGGGGTGTTGTGATGGGGCACGTTTTCCCTTCCCTTCATTTGGTATCACCCCCCGGTCATATGGAAGCACAGAAACAATAAACAGTTCCATGGTCGCCGCCATTGTGTTTCGAGGGCGATCGGCCGCTCCCGATAAATCGCCGCGAGAGTGCTAAACTAACCACCGGAATCGACCATAACAGGGGGGGCTATTTTTTGCCCCCCTCGTATCTCCGAAACTACTGGACGGATCCGCAAAATTCGAACGGCGTTCGAAAGGCCTGTCAAATTTGTCGAAGAAAACCAAATTTCATTGACCTCGGGGTCACCGATGACGTCACAGGTCAGGTCAAAGATGAAATGTTTCACCGTTCACGGGTCTTCTAGGGAATGCGCTATAACACCGAGGAAAACGCATTTTGTCGAGAATCAGCGATAGGGCGTCAGTTGCCTAGTAGATATGTTGCTGTTAGAGGTCACTGGTCATACCAGGTCAGGTCACAGGTCAGGTCACCAAAGGTCACCAAGGGTCACCACATGAACCCAACTTTACTAAGGTTGTGCGATGCATGTTTTATGGCCAGTTTTTCATTTCCAACTCAATGGTGTTGGTTATAAGACCATCAGGTACGGTTTAGGTCACTTTCTGGTGGAGGTCAGGTCAAGATCAGGTCAAAAAAGGTCAAATTTCAAAGTTGATATTTTGCATAAAATGGGTGTTGATTCGATGCAGCTCATCACGGGGAGTCTAATGGTGGTCTTTGTTTTGCGCTACGAGGTCTAGAATTGCTGAAAATTGAGTTTGAAAATTTGACGTCATCAATTTTGAACAGTTTGTCGCTATAACTTGGCCAAAAAAAAAAGAGGTATCGATCTCAAATTTGGTATGTAGATAGAAAGCGGTAGGGACTATCACATATATTCCGTTTTTTTCGAAATTCAAAAAACTTTTTTGATTTTTCGGCTATTATATTCAAAAAAATCTATTTTTTTGATTTTTGGGGGTCAAAATCCAAAAATTTCAAAAATCCGATATAGCAGTTTTGTAGCCCTGTCCATTCTACAGCTTTTATGTCTGTATCATTTTTCTGTATTTGCAAAGCTATAGGGTAACTGTGGGGAAAACGCACCCCTGGGTTAAACGCCTCCCCTAAAAAAATCGTAGATCTTATCGACGGATAGGTGTTTTATCCTGCCTTTCAGAACAGTCAGCTGCTTGTTTACGCAGTTCTCTATTTCCGGTTCTGCGTCTTGAGGAGCAGCGTGGGTAGGTGCTGATGTTGGTTTTGGGTGCTGTTTTTGTTGTTTTTACAGAAGATTCCTAAGCTTTTGATGCCCTCTTTATACCTATCACAAAACTTGCTATTGTGCACATCACTCAAAACTGCGTTTTATTGTCATTCTGTTGAATTTATTATGTTGCGGCGTTAGTGGCGCGTTTTTTGTCAATATTTTGTTGACCGGAAATGGAGTGGATGGGGAAAGACGCCTACTCGATGCATGGGGCAAGACGCCCCCAGTTTTCTGAAAGGGGGGCGTTTTGCACGGTGGTGAGAGTGCAGGGTAGCGCCGTGTAGGTCGGGGCCGAAAAGGCCTCTCCCTGTCCTTTTTTGCTGATATATCCTAAACGACTGCAGATATCGTCACCAAACTTTCAGGACTCCTCCGGGCATCCATTTTACACATTGTAACAACATTTTATTCCAAAGGCTATGATAGGTTGACCACAAATGACGTCAGAATGACGTCAAGTTCTGCCACGTTCATCATTTTCTGTTGATGGATTGGGTGGGGGCGCTTTGCACATGGGTGTGGGCGTATTACCCAGGGTGTGGGGCAAAACGCCCTTTTGTAAGGGTATGCGGAAACCTTTTTGGGGGGTTAAATACCATACGCAAGTGTCTTTTCTTGGTCTCAAAGCGTAGTAAAAAGAATGAGCTACATGATGGTGCCCAAAGGTTTGAGTAATCTGGGTTGGGTTGAGTGTCAGAAGGTTTCGCGCTTAATGGGGGCGTTTTTGACCTATTCACCCTAGGCCTGACAGCTCTTCCCGCGAAACCCTTTTTTGGGTCGAAAACGGCAGAACATGACGTCACTCTGACGTCATTTCCGACCAACCTATCATAGCCTTTGGAAAAAATTTTGGACACAATGTGTAAAATTGATGTCCGGGAGGGTACTGAAAGTTTGGTGACGATCAGCGCAGTGGTTCTGGAGATATATCGAAAAGTCTGGAGGGGGGGGGGGGGGGCAAAAAATAGCCCACCCCCCACCAGGTCGCGGGTTAAAAGAGGAACAAAATTCATATACCTGCCTTTTCTCGTGCCACGTGCCGTGATGATCACCCATAGGTACTAGGAGCAAAATTAAATTCATGCTTAAAAGGATGGGCTATCTGATGCAGCAGACTGCTTAATGCTCATCGATCGACATAGCGGCTACTGAGATACAATCCTATCAAAAGTGTCATGGGGCCGGGCCGGGTCGGGCTGCTCATTATAAGATTTCCCCTTATTGGCGGCACTGACTGATTGAACCATTCTGGCCGTGCCTGTGCTTACTTCCAATATTATTTTGGTTGCATTACATAGGACCTAAAACCAGCGGCATTGTATACGTAAGAGTTTTGAAAGAGACTTGACAAATGTCTAAAAATACGGATGACTACAATATTTCTCATTTTGTACAAGCGCTAGAGGTGTTGCAATCCAAGCAATGAATCGTTTGCATTGAAATAAGCATTGTTGTGTAAATGCAAAAGAAAGAAAATGCAAAAGATTGTATGTGAAAATGCAAAAGAAAACTTCCGGATAGCACGGTGTTAACTGGGCAGAACAATTCGTACTTGATCGGTGATCCTTGCTCGTCCTACATGCAATGAAAAAGATCCTGGTGATGTGTGGTGCAGTTAGTTGGGAGTTTGCTCGGGACTCGAGAGAACCCGGGTTCGATCCCTAGTGCCGCCCGGCCCCTGGATGTTTCTCCAGTTGCGCCACCAGGAGAGGGGTATGTAAGTACTACCTAAAGGCTCTCGCAATTTCCGTAAGCCTAGTCAGGGAGGAAAAGGAGCTCTCTAGTAGTAGGGCAATCATGGTCTCTTTGAGGGAGAACTGAATGAAAAGTAACCTAATTCTAAGTTTCACTTGACTGGGAGACTGCAGAGGTGCAGGAATGCAGAAGGAGTTGAAAATCGATAAGGCTTTGGCCTTTGATCGAAGTGATAAGACCATAGGTCAAATTCATGCTTGATGACATATAGATGTATTATATCGGAAAACTCGAGACTGGCATCTCGCTAATCCAGATCGAAGTTCATCAGCAAACACAACACACAAGAACAAGCTCCGCGGTCGATGCTCCCAGCAGACTTTGATTGAGTCTAGTACAGGCCGTAGGCTCCAGTCAAGCCCGCGTAGCCAGAGTAGAGGGAGGGGCGGGCGCCGTAGCCGTAGGCAGCACGGCCGTAGCCGTAGGCAGCGGGTGCCGCGTAGCCGTAGCCATAGCTGCCGTAGCCGGAGTAGAGCGTTGACTTGTAGCCGGTGTAGGGAGCGGCGTAGCCGTAGCTCTTGACGACGGGAGCGGCGGCGTAGCCGTAGCTCTTGACGACGGGAGCGGCGGCATAGCCGTAGCTCTTGACGACCGGAGCGGTGTAGCCGTATCCGTAGGAAGCTGGGGCGGCGTAGCCGGCGCCGTAGACGGCGGGGGCGGCGTAGCCGTAGCCGGAGCCGTAGGTGGTGGCTACGGCCACCGACTCGCTCTGATCCAGGTCGTCGGACGCGGCCACGGCGGCCACCACGGCCAGGCTGAGCACGGCGAAGAACTGCGAAACGAAACGAAAACGTTTAAAATATAATCGAACGCTCATCGTTCTTCTACATAATTACATCAAATTTTATGTTGAATAGCAATGAAATGAATGTTTGAAAATGTACTTAATTTCTAGAAAGCCTGGCTTTACTGAATAAGATACAATTGACAGATAGCAAACAAGCATACAAATGCAGGCAATACGTTCCATCATGCAGTGCACCGTCCGTTCTCACCTTGTTCATGGTTGTTGCGTTGTTTGCTGTGAGTGCGTCAGCAGAGAGAACTGTGCCTGGTGCCGACTCTGCAGTGGTTTATATACGATCGACCTTCTGCCACCGGCCGCCCAGCCGAGGTCGGAGCGTTTAGGGCCACCGCCCGGGCCAGTACTACCGGAGCCGTGGGACCGAGTGCGTGACACTGCACATTACACCGACCGTTTGACTGACTTAATGGCTAAATATACTATGTGTGAATGTATCTGCGGACAGACGTCACGCATTTGTGTCTCTGTGGTGAAACATTTGTCAGCCACAGCTAATATCAGCGTTTTTTTTTTTTCAATTTCTGCGGTATTTCGGTTTCCGCGTTTTTTCGGCATCTGCGTTTTTTCGTTGCGGGCGGCCTCCGCGTGGACGATGTTGTTTAAAGTATAGTGATGGAGAATAAATCAAATTATTGAATTATTAATGTTAAATATAATCGTGTTTTTGCAAAACTATAAATAAATAATTGTTCTAAATTGTATACATATAACAAGAGTAGGTATATTTTCTATAATAATCATTTGTCAGCTTTAATATGTTTATCATATTGCGAGTAGAATGATGAGTTTTGAAACAATTCTTTTCTCTTTTTTATTCATGAATTTCACCATTTTCGTTATTTTCATTTTTAAATGTTCCATCATCACAATATCATTGGCAACAATCACTTCTTATCATTTATCACTAAAACGAAATCCCGCAGAAACCGAAAAAAGTTCAATGCTCTGAACTTGTTTTCGGTTCCTGTCGTGAAATTGAGGGACTCCTCGGTTTTTGCGGGTTTTCGTTTCACGGGACGTTAGACTGGCAGTGTATAGCTTGCGCAACGCATTCGCTATGAGGCGAACTTTACGACGCGAACCGGAATCTCGTAGAAACCGAAAAAACGTCGGAATTCATACTAGTGTAGTTTAAGCCTAAGATATTATAGTAAAATTAAATTTTTATATAAATGTAGGATGTTAGCAGAAATTTTGAAGAGGCGTGTCACCAAGCAAGACGATTGAACCTCGATCAATGGCTTGTAAGTAAAAATGGTTA